TGTACCCGGTCTCTCTGGATTTATAATGGTCATAAAATAATTGCTTTTCAACCAATTTTCAATATCTATATATCAATAGACAGCCATGAATCTTAGGAATCTGAATATATATGCATTTTAAAATGTCCAAATTGCCCCAAATTAAGTGACTCATTTCGCTATCACCGGTCACATATTTACATTGTTTGGGTTGTTGATAAGGGTAACATACAACAAATCATCAATTAATTTAAGTAATAAGCACCTAATGGCAACTTGTTTTCTTTAGCTGGAAGAAGACCGCCAATCAATCTTGCAAAAGTCTTGATGTTTGCAACATGAGCTGGAGCCACTGCTTGGGGTTTACCCCGTTCCCTCAATAGTGTTTCATCGAGCTGAGGCCACTTTGCTGCCAGTAGCGCACACATGCCTCAATCAACTGCAACTCCCTCTTGCAATGGCAGAGGACAACGTGCTCTTCAATGCATTCGATTTGTCCTTTGCAAATGATTACTTTGGAATGGGTTAGCTATGCTCTGGTAACCTGGAATATATTAAATGTTTCATCTCATTGTACATGCTCAAGGCATCTTCAACTGTTAGAATATTTGCGGTTTGGAAAGTGAGGAACAGTTCTGCTTCTAGTAGTGGCTCCAGCAGATGAAGAATAGGGTGCACTTCAACTGCATCTACGTGTTCTTCTTCATTCTCTCCAGTATCATCCTCCACTCCGAAATGAAGTATTTCATCCCTAAAGTATGGTCATAGTGTAAGCATTACTAGTTGTATAAAACGTGTATTACAAGTGAGAGTAAGAATCTAAAAAACTAATAAAATAATCTACAAAACTGAAAATAATATTTGTAAAAAGTGCAATGTTGTTTGTTTGTATTTTTGTAGTTTTTAATGTAATATTTGTTGGTATGAAATGGTTACATGTTTCTGTTCTGAAGATACATTTATACTGGTAAAAAAGATACTATATACATATATAATCTTATTTTTACCAGTAAAAATGTAAGACTTCACTTACATGTAACCATATACACCTATTCTTCATCTGCTGGAGCCACTACTAGAAGCAGAACTGCTCCTCACTTTCCAAACCGCAAATATTCGAACAGTTGAAGATGCCTTGAGCATGTACAATGACATGAAACATTTAATATCTTCCAGGTTACCATGTGACTGAAGTCTTACATTTATACTGGCAAAAAAAGATATTACATATATATATATATATACCCACATTAATAGTAATGTTTGCACTTTTTGCAAAAATTATTTTTACTTTTTCAGATTGTATTATTAGCTTATTTTGTATACATATATTGTATATAATTATATAGAAATATATTATTGTTACACCACTTTCCCAGTGTAACAGAAAAACATATATTAACGTCCATAATCACCGTCCTATTTTCAGGACAGCCTTTAATTTTACACTAATTATGTAGAGGAAAATGAACCTGTGTCAACTCCTCAAAGCAACTGCTGTCCGCATAGGTATTTTCTTGGCACTGTAGTTGTCGTAGCCCCGCCACATACAGTTGTAAGGGCGTCATACTCCGTTCAGTTCTTAAAGCATGATTGTTCCACGCACTCTCAAACTCAGCAAGGCTTCTTCTGATGCAGGGCAAGAAGGCGTGATGAAGTGCATAAATGTCCATTTCATTGTTGGGGTCTAAAACGCCGTCATTTTCCATCTCCCTTTAAATGGGGAAAAATGTTTTCTAATTACCTGTTACAGTGTGAAGGTAGAGCCACGGATGTTTACGTATTAAATATCAGATCATTTCGCAGCAGAATTTTTCTTTTTTCTTTACCCATCAGAATGTTAACGGTTATCAACCATTAATGTGTGTTTGTGTCTGCAATGTCATAACAAAATGCGATACACTTAGAAAGAAAATGCTAGTAAGCATACATTAATAATGGGTTTGAAGGTGGTCCTCAAGGGAACATTAGTAACATTTTTATTCAACCAATCACCACAGATTTGCTTAATGAAGTCACTCACCGTAGCTCATATTTCTGGAGTCGGTGCCAGACTAAAACATTGCTTCGGAAATGGGCACTAAAATATGTCCGAGTTTGTCAAAATTTATGAAAAATATTGCTATAATAAACTTACCTAAATATATTATAGAATCTGGAGATGCATGATGTGAAAACATCTCGCCAAAGACGCTCAATGCGCTGGTTGTGCACTGACCGACCGGCTATGACAGAACCGCGGCCAACTCCCCTGTTCTGCAGCATAAACTGTGCCACATCTACATTTTCACCACCTTTGTCGCATCTGGATGCAAAAAGAATGTAAATTATATAACAGGGGACTTAACTACCTGGTAATAAATTACAATGAAAGATGGTGATATTGCTTGATCTGCAATTGGATAATTAATCTATGATGGTATAAGCATCCAATCATAGAGGTTATACTGTAAACCCCTTTATTTATGCGTGCCCGTAATTTTCGCGATATTCGCGATCATGAATAAATAGCGAAAATCAAGGGTCGCAAATTGTGCGAAAGTTAACATACTGTACGAAACAGTACTGATAAATCGCGAACATAACGGTGAAAATGTTTCTATTTGTAGCAAATCGCAAAATATGAGGGGCGCGAAAATAAAGGGGTTTACAGTAGTTGGTTACGTGGTGCCATACAGAATCTTTGAGATGCCGCAGTACAAAATGCAGATGGTTTATCATTACAAGTTTTCTGCAAGTATCTTAACAAACTAAGAGATAATGCCATATTTACAAGTACACACGCATGTGTAAAAACAAGGTAGCAGTTTAGAATGAAATTTAAACCAGATCTATCACAACATTCAAGTTTGTCTCACCTCACACGTGATGGAAGTCCCCACTGTGAAACGGCTTTTACAAAGCACTCTTTCACTGTGGCCGCTTTATTATTGGTGCCTGCCTGAAGGTAGACAATCACACGGGAATATCCATCGATTCCTCCGTGTGTCACAATACGCCACCTGTGGTTATGTTGGCATGTACATTTCAATTGAAAGCACGATATAAAATTCTCGGTCATCATTTAATGTATAATTATGTTACTGTAATTTTGTGCAGGAGTAATCTAAGCCATTGCAGGCAACTACAGAGCCAAGTTGCTGAAGATTTTAGGAAGAATTTTCAAACAGAACTATTTCAGGATATCAGCAGATGTCGCTCACCGTATTAGTTTGTGGTGACCATCAATGTGCCAAAGTGACAATGGTGCTCTCACGGCATATACTCGTCTCTGAATACATGATGTATTAGGCCTCACATTGCCAGCAACGTTTTGGATATCTCTCACTACTGCCCTCACTTTCCATCATTGCACTCTGTATCCACTAGACCTCAAGTGGCCAGTCAACATCTGTAGACCTTCAAAAAAGAACAGATGCACAATCTGTACTATAACTTACTAATGAAATACGCAAAACTTGATGCACAATATAAATGTACAATGAATTAAAGACTTGGCATTTTTTGGTATTATTTGACTTGGCATACCTTTAAAGATTGTACGGGCATTAGGAACCGATTAATTATTTAAAAATATGTTACAGTTTCGGACAGGTACTGTACTTAACCTACCAATGTTTGTGGTTTCTTCCAAAATCTTCTGTATGACTTGAGAAAGGTCATGAGTTGGTAGATCCACATAGGTCGCTTTCACACTTAGGCCTCTTTCATCCTCCTTTCCACTGTGGTTACACTCACGTGCAGCATCTGTGAAATCTGTGGCACCGTGAAGCAGCGCTCTGAATTTTAAAAATACATCAATTTGCAGAGACTAAAACATCAACCTATAACAATCTGAAAGAAACTGATATTTCATGAGACAACTTATACTCTTTCCTGGTAGATATCCATCTGCTTACTACCGAAATGAAATACTGATATTATCATGCATTAAACATACTTAGCAAATCATGAAGTTCTTCTGCATCAATTTCTTTTCTGGGAGGACCTGTCATTGCTATCATGTTGAGTGGCAATTCAACCTGCAATATAGTTTAACTATATTATATATACTTAATAATTATACTTAATTTTATACTTAATAAATATGCAACAGCTAAGCTAGTGATGAACGTTATTTTTTAGGCCATGTCGGACGCGTAGCCTACAGGTTTAAATGTCCGGTTATAATCGATTAGCCAATTAGTGGTGGCTATCTTTTACGTGAGATCTCGCGATGGACGCAAAGATCCGGTTTCTGATGGGCTCAGCCCATCTCGGCCTCGTCTACTTATCCTCAACCTAGAATGTACGTCGTACAAGTACTAGTTTATTACTGTACCGTTAGTAATCGCTAAACAAACGGGGAAAAACGCGGAAATCATACTGGCCGCCTGCTGCAAAACAGGGCCCCTGAAGCCAGCATTAAATAAACGCGGATTCACTTTGCACTAACTCGCATTACTGTACAATGCGCGTTACATTGCGTTACTATACATGCGTAGATAGATGGATTGGTAGATAGATAGATAGATAAATAGATAGACTTTGGTAGTATAGATCAGATAGATAGATAGATAGATAGATAGATAGATAGATAGATAGATAGATAGATAGATAGATAGATAGATAGATGGGATGGATGGATGAATGGATGGATGGATGGATGGATGGATGGATGGATGGATGGATGGATAGATAGATATATTTTTGGGTATTTTTCTTTCAACCAATTGTTGTCACCAACCGAGCGCTTTATTTCCCGGGCAACGCCGGGTGTCCTGCTAGTAATCTATAAGTGGCTAATCAATTATGACCAGGTGTTTAAACCTGTAGGCTACGCGTCCGGTAACCGGACACGTAGCCACTCCCTATTTTTGATTTATGCTAAAAGTAGCCTACTGACATAGCAGTGGCAGATCCAGGATTTCAAGGAGGGGGTGACAAACAGGTGGGGGTATGGGGTCCTCCCCTAGAAAATTTTGAAAATGTAGAAAATTTCAGTTTGCTCTCTAATTTGAAATATTATCTACTAATCTGTTATATACTAACATGATATTATTTGTGTAACTATAACTGTAAAATAAAGTGGCTGTAAATAAAAGTTGAGTTGCTCAGTTTATTTTCTAATTTGATACATTAATATTACTATCTTACTGTTTTCTATGATACATTAATTATTTATCTGTTTATAATCTATTATGTAACAATTAACTAGTATAACTGTAACTGTAATAATATTAATAAGGTTTGTGATGCTATAGCCTACAGCCATTATTAATATTATTATTAATAATGCCGGTTAAAATGTGCTGACAGCTGTCTTGTACAACTATTTCTGACTAAAGGTAAGTTAGGCTGAGAGGGTCTGTAACACGCCAGTATAAACACAACTCAGAGTGAAAGATAACACACATAGTTTATTCGTCCACTTCTTATTCCGCCATCTTCCAACTACCACGATCACACCACGTGACCCTTCACACGTACAGGGCGGGAACACATAGAACAAGACTACGCGGTGTGATACATCTTTTCTCCTATATGAAATAACTCAAAACTCTCAATACTGTGCACGTGGAACCTTGTATACCGCGTACCTATACAACACAGTTGTTTACAACACAGTCAACTAACAAATGTCAATTAAGTGACAACGATAACAAACGAATTTTCCATTATTATATGGACTTTAACAAATGCCACATTCAAATAATATCATCCTGACCTACAGTTCAATTGATGTAGGTTT